TATCTATCTATCTATCTATCTATCTATCTATCTATCTATCTATCTATCTATCTATCTATCTATCTATCTATCTATCTATCTATCTATCTATCTATCTATCTATCTATCTATCTATCTATCTATCTATCTATCTATCTATCTATCTATCTATCTATCTATCTATCTATCTATCTATCTATCTATCTATCTATCTATCTATCTATTTTTAGATTTCTCTGTTCTAATTTGTTCTCATTCTGTTACGTAGATATCCTTCATATTCCATATATGTTTTTTTATATGTATCGTATGTATATATATATATATGTATATATGTTTTGTATATGTATCTGTATGTATGTGTATATATATGTATATACGTTTTGTATATGTATCGTATGTATATGTATATATATGTATATATGTTTTGTATATGTATCGTATGTATATGTATATATGTTTTGTATATGTATCTGTATGTATATGTATATATATGTGTATGTGTTTTGTATATGTATCGTATGAATATGTATATATATGTATATATGTTTTGTATATGTATCTGTATGTATGTGTATATAGACTAGCCTTAGAGGGCGCTTCGCGCCCATCTTCTAAATTAATTGTGAACATGTTCTCTTTGTGTACATCGTAAAACAAAACAAAAATAATTCGCGGATTTTCACAAAAAATTTCGTGGGTTTTCAAAATTTCAAAAATTTAATGAAGATCGCATTTTGATGGAGACAAATATTTGAAATTTTGATCATTCATAAACCTTCCCTGGGGTCCCTAGATGTCCCACAAAAAATTTGGGCCTGATCTTTCTTTTTGATTTTTCATAAACCTTCCAAATTGTGACTTAGAGTTGTGACTTAGAATCTGTCTTGAACATTATCAAACTCTTAAACAAAATTGAACAAGAAAATTGTGACTTAGAAATGATTGTGACTTCTAATTTGAGACTTAGAAAGTGTCTTAGTCATAATTTTGTCTCCAAAAACAAGCTTAGACATATTTGTGACTTTTGCTTGTGACTGAAAATGTGTGTTAGACATAATTAAGCCTTACAAAACATGACTTAGGAATAGTTTTGTCTCAAGAGTTATAGTTTAGAATGTGTCTTTGACATTATTGGGTGTGAAAAGTATGGCTGTGAGGTAATTGGGGACTTAGAACTGTGACAAACAATGTGTCTTATACTTAAAGGGACAGTAAAGGAAAAATGAAAGGGGGTATAGGCTGAAAGCTAATCACTTTAGCTCTTGATCGCGACCCATGAAAGTTTTATCTGATTTTCCTGTCTCGAGAAATTGATATAAAACTGTGTTAAAATTATACAAAAATTCAAATATGTAAAATTTAGAAAATCTGAAACTTAAATCACGTGACCAGAACTATCACCAATGGCAGAGCAGTATACTGGTCACGTGTGTCCGCCTGTATCACGTGACCAATTTACTGCACTGCCATTGGTGGAATTTCTGGTCAAGTAATACGGACGTAAAAATAATATTAGGAATTAAATCTATTGAAAATAGAAACAACAAATATAAAAGTAAACCTAATTTACAATTAGCTTTCTCTGGGATATCATCGTTTTCAGATTGGTTGCTTATTTGCTGAATATGATCTGTTTAAACCCACTACTTTTATACAAAATTGTATATATATTAATTTTCGTATATAGTTGACACAGTTTTATATCAATTTCTCGAGATAGGAGCATCAGATATAACTTTCATGGGTCGCGATCAAGAGCTAAAGTGATTAGCTTTCAGCCTATACCCCCTTTCATTTTTCCTTTACTGTCCCTTTAATTAAACCCAAAAATGTGACTTAGACATGAGCTGTGATTTAGAATTTTGACGTAGAAAGTGTCTTAGTCACAAATTAGTCTGAAAGGTAAGACTGTAAATTAGACATGAGTGTGATTGAAACGTCATTTCAGACTTAATTAACACTTAGAATTGTGACTTTAAATGGGTCTAAAACACAATAAAGCCTAAAAAACATGATTTAGACCTAGTTTTGAGTTAGAATTGAGCCTCAGAATGTGTCTAAGACACATTTGTTACTTAGAAAGTGTTCTAGAATGTGTCTAATGCATGTTTGTGGCTTCGAAAGTGTTTTAGACACAAATGTGACTTAGAACCGTGACTTAGAAATTCTCTAAAGTATTAGTTTGACATAGTATGGTGACTAAGAAAGTGACTTAGACATAATTTTGTCTCCAAAGTATGAATTCGACGCAGAATGGTGACTTAGATATAATTGTTACTTAGAAAGTGTCTTAGGCATGTCTCTAAAGTAAGAATTTTTCATAGACTTGTGACTTAGAATGAGTCTTGACATAGTTGTGACTTACAATTATGACTTAGATAGTGTCTTAGACAAAATTTGGTCTCAAAAGTATGACGTTCATGTAACCGTGACTTAGAACTGTGATTGTAAATATGTCTTACCATGACTTAGACATGGGTTTGACTTAGAATTGTACCTTGAATGTGTCTTGTCTTGAAGAGACAATTTTGATGCTTTAGTATTTTCAAAAAGGACCATTTTTGATGCTTTCCTACGGCTTAATGATATTTTAGAGATATCCTTAGCTTGGGTTATGTTAGGTTATACAAAGCATCAAAAATTACACCTGAAAGCATCATTTGTCCTAATTGATAATAAATAGGTTGGAAGATTAAGATTAAGTATGCATATATATTTGTATATTATATTGTTCATATATATATATATATATTATAAATTATCTCCCGGAAGAATTTGTAAATGTCTCCCTGGGGAGAGAATATAATTCATTTCTCATTCTGCCGTTAATTAAAGAATAAATAATATTATCTTATAAACTTATTATTTTGAATAGAATAAAATGCCAGAAAAAAATCTCATTTTTGAGTGCGGCAATATAGAAAACAAAGAAAATTCATATCGATATCAGGAAATAGCTACAAACTATCATAAATATGTTTTAAAATATTTTATTTTCTATATGCTTGAGACAATTATAAATATTTGATTGATAATGATTTGAGTGAACAGTCCCTTTGTAAAATCTATTTCCACATTTGTTGAAGAATATCTTGATCCTAATAAATTCTTTTGTTTGGAATAAAATACCGATGATGAGGGATAAACTTGATAAAATGGAAAATTCGGTAAAATATCCAAGATGGCCGAACATGATGGGAACTCTGAGAACAAAAGGATTCCGATGAAAACTGTTGAATATTTCATATTGACACCTTGTTATAGGGAGAGAGAGAGGGAGGGAAGAACGAATGAAGAAAGAAAGTAAGAGATTGAGTGAGTGAGGAAGTGAGTGAGTGAGTGAGTAAGTGAGTAACTGTGAGAGTAAATTAGTGACTAAGTGGGTAAGTAATTAAGTAGGCAAGTGAGAGTGTGGAATAAGTGATCAATGCAGTATAGTAAGAGAGTAAGTGAGGAAGTATATAGTTAAGGAAGTAAGTAAGTGAGGAAGTAAGTAAGTGAGGAAGTGAGAAAGTAAGTAATTGAGTAGGTTAGGAAGGAAGTAGTTGAGGAAGAAAGTAAGTGAAGAGGTAAGTAAGTGAGGAAGTAAGTAAGTGAGTAATTGAGTAGGTCAGGAAGTAACTAGCTGAAGAAGTAAGTGAGTAAGTATGTAAATAAGGATGTAAGTGAGAGAGGAAATAACTGAGGAATTAAGTAAGAAAGTGAGGAAGTGAGGAAGTAAGGAAGTATTTAAGTGAGTAAGTGAGTAAGTGAGGAAATAAGGAAGTGAGTCAGTAAGCAAGTGAGGAAGTAAGAAAGTGAGGAAACAACTAAAGTGAGGAAGTAAGGAAGGAAAGAAAGAAAGAAGGAAGGAAGGAAAGAAGGAAGGAAGGAAGGAAGGAAGGAAGGAAGGAAAGAAGGAAGGAAGGAAGGAAGGGAGGGAGGAAGGAAGGAAAAAAGGAAGAATGGAAGGCTGGGAGGAAGGAAGTAAGTAATTAAGTGAGGAAGTAAGTAGGGAAGTAAGTGAGGAAGTAAGTAAGGAAGTGAGGAAGTGAGTAATTAAGGAATTGAGGAAGTTAGTTAGTAGGTGAGTGAGGGAGTCAGTCGAAAAGTGACTAAGTAAGTAATAAGTGAGGAATAAAGGGAGTAATTGAGTAATTGAGTGAGTTTGGAAGGAAGTGAGTAATAGAGTAAGTGAATGGCTATGAAGAAAGTGATTAATGGAATAAATGAGTGAGAGTTTGTTTGAGAGAGTGTGTGTTTGTAAGAACGGTTGACACAACTAAACCATTTAGTACCATTCTCTGGCTAATGTATTTACACTGTACACCTTAATTTACAATTCTAGGGAAACAGAGCATTATATATATATATATATATATGTATATATTATATAGCTGGGAACCCAGCCCTGCCAAGGTTACTAAAAATTACTCCCGCCGTTTACCCGCGCTTGAACGATTTTACCGGGAAACTAAATATTCGCTGTTAAAGTCGATGCACTCAACTTAGAATCTCAAACAAAGCTAAGAACATTCCCATGGGTCTCCCGAATTCCCCAATCAAAATTTGAGACAAATCGGTCCAGGGGTTCCTGAGTTGTGATCAGACAGACAAACAGAGATTACAACTTTATATATATTTATATACATACCTGCTGTTTTAAATAATTTTTTACATTTTTAGCTGTCGGTTTATAAAATAATTTTTAAAAAATTCTTCTTTTTAGGAATTTAGTCTTTGCTACCCAATGATGAATTCTGTCATATAAAATAATCTAAGTTTGAAATATCTAAGATTTACATCATCAGTTAAAAATTTTGGAGGAAAGGTTCATTTCCTTTATACCGAATTGTCATCTTTCAAATTTCAGGCCCGTAGTGGGGGGGGGGGTACCGCCCCCCCCACCCCGGGCCTGCCCCTCAACCCCTCTTATTCACAAATTGGTAAAAAATCAAGACTAAAGGTGAATAAGAAAGAAGCAAAATAAAAATGTTTGTCATTTTCTGACATGAGAACTCAGTGAGGTTTCCTACAACTTCTCCGGTTACGGTTCAGGACTGATTAATCTCCCTGTCGTATTCTATACCCAGAGAAGCAGGAATAGTTGTTTCTTGTGATCCTTGATGCTGACAGTTTAGTGAGTATACCGATTTTTCTAAATTGACGTACAGGGTTACCCGAAAAGAATGAGACCTTACAAGTTCACAGACTGGACTTTATTCTCATTAACTTTTATTCTTAAAGGGACTGTAAAGGAAAAAATGAAAGGAGGTATAGGATAAAACCTGAGAATCTCAGAAGTTGAACAATACATGTAAGATATATATCTGATGTTCCTGTCTCGAGAAATTGATATAAAACTGTGTCAAAATATTACCAAAACATTGTCACGTGACAACGATACTGCACTGCCAATGGCGGAGGTTCTGGTGACTTAATACGGGCTTTATAGACTATACGCAATAATATTATCAATTATATCTGTTAAGCATGCAAAATAAAATCTAAAAAATTATATCAGGAGTAAATCTGAGATTCTCAGCCTCCTGTTGGATATCAGGTTGGTTGAGTATTTGTTGAATATGATCTGTTTTATGCTACAACTCTTATACAAAATCTGAAAATCTGATATATGTACATTTTGATATAATTTTGACACAGTTTTTTTTTTATCAATTTCTCGAGACAGTAACGTCAGATAGATGTCTTACATGTATCGTTCAACGCTTGAGATTCTCAGGGTTTTTTCTAGACCCCCTTTTATTTTTCCTTTACAGTCCCTTTAAATTGCTGGTTTCCTCTCAGCATTAAAGGGACTGTATGTGTAACCCTCAATGCAGTTGTGGCAATGCCCGATGCACAACGGTACCCTTAAAAGCTTTGTCTAATTGAATGAAGTATGACTTAGACATCAATGTTTATAATTTTGAAAACTGATTATTTTTAATTGTGCTTTCTTGCTTACGCATTTCTGTTTCAGAAAAAAAATAAAGGAATTATCAGAGTTAAGTGCTCTTAAACATAAAAAACTAAATATCTTCTACATTATTGATAATCAAGGGTACCGTTATGAATCGGGCTTGCCATCTTTTCATGTAGGATCGCTTGAAATTACGCTTACAGTCCCTATAAGCTTGTCGCTCTCCCACCTAAATCACTGAACAAACCTACTAAAAATAAATCAAAGACCGAGAACCAAATCAAAGCTTCAGATAATCAGATCTGGAGAGTTTTAACGTGGGCCTGAAGTCATAATCATAGGATTACACACAAAAATGAAACTCGAGAATGACAATCTGAAAACTGAATCCAATCATGTAAATGTTTGTAAAAAAATCTCGAAGGAACCTTGAATTTAAGTAATAACAACTGTGCACTTCTTGTGCAGTCTCATATCTTTTAAGTAACACTATATTTTTTGGCTCATCAGAATAAATATTTAAAAAATTGACCAATAAAAACAGAAAAATCGGCGCATTTTTAATTTTATTGTATTTGAGAACGAGAAGAAAATGCAGACAATGTTGAAAATAAAGAATTAAAATTGTTCCTAGAAAGAAAGAGGAGTGCCCTAGAGTTGTCTTGTGTAAAATTTAACAGGAAAAATGGCCACCATGGAATCCCCTACAGTTTTATCAGTAAGTGTTTAAACAAGTGATATTTTTAGTTTTTGTGCTATTGTTATTACCAGTCGATTGAAAACCTGTAATTTTTTGTTACCAATGATCGAAGTCTCTATATAGGGGTCTCCCCGTTATCCTTCTCCTTTTAGAAATATGGTCTCCTAGATCCCTACTATGTGATATTTTGATGCCGATCCCTTTATAAGGTTCCCCCGTTATCCTTCTCCTATTAGAAATATGGTCTCCTAGATCCCTACTATGCGATATTTTGATGCCGATCCCTTTATAAGGTTCTCCCCGTTATCCTTCTCCTATTAGAAATATGGTCTCCTAGATCCCTACTATGCGATATTTTCATGCCGGTCGCTTTAAAACCTGTGATATTTTGTGGAAAAACTTTTTAAGTTCTCAAAATCCTACTTCTCCTCTTTATCCCGGCCATAGATGTCATATTTTGAAGACAGTCCCTTTAAAATCTGTGATATTTTCTGTACAGTCCCTTTAATACTATTAACAGCCACTTGTTTAGGTTCTCCCTATCCTTCTGCTCCTGGTAGGACTATGGTCCCCTATATCCCTCCTAGATGAGAACAAGACTAACCTTAGGATTCAAGATCCGCAAGAGGTGACATTTTCATCATAAAAAGAGGGAGAGTTCAGAGCCCGCGATTCAAAATCTTCAGCTCGTGTCTTAATTCCTTAGACCCAGGTTTACGGCTTAATCTTAGACTCCTAACTTATGAATCAGTTGACGACAGTCAAATTCAATATTAAACCGGTTTAATTAGTTGAAACTTGAATCTTAAATTAGTCTCGATTACAGCTTAGACCTGAGTCTTATTTAATTTAATCGGGATTTTAAAAAAATAGCGTTTACACAGTGATCCAAAGTTTGCAAGCGCTCACGCGGCAAAAATAGAAAAAAAAAATTCCAATTACTTTCATAGCGTCTGGATCATATGTTGATGGAAAATCTTCAATTTTGCTGAAATTTCTAAATTCTAATTTTTTTATGTACTTTTTTTTTGAAGTAAAATACTTTTTTGTACTTTTATCAATACTTTTTATAATGCTAAATCTATTAAGTTATTATTAAGTGTAAAGAAGAGAAAAAATAAAAAATAACTTTTTCAGATCCTCTTACAACTAAAGCATGTTGAAGAAATACCTAAACTTCTTCCAAAATCATCTTTTCCCAAAATCCAAGATGGCGTCGTTGTAAAACAAACAGAAAATTGTTTCAGGTAAAACTGAGCGACAATCTGGCGGCCATTTTGAATTTAAGAGATAATTTGCGGCATTGATTTTTCAACCTAATTTTACTTGCTTGATTCTTAATCTTAAAACAATTATAAAAAAGATCCAATTTTGGTGTCATTTGTTCAATTCAAATCTCAACCAAATTAATTTTTCAAAGGAAAAAACAGCAGACCACAATGGGGAAAAAATATTTATTAAATTAGGTTGCCAAATAAATAGGTGGATTCTCATTTGAACTACTGCCGTTTGAACTATGGTACGTTTGAACATATATTGTTCGTTTGAACTATTGTTCATTTGAACTACTGACATGACGTCATATCCTGTAGTTTCAATCAACACATTTCTTGCTCATTTGAACTATTTTTCTATCCCAATTCAGTTTAAATTTTTTTTTATAATTCCCATAAAGATAGTTCATGACAATTAATTAGATAACCGCATTACACAGAAATGTTTCAAATAAACATAACAATAGTTTAAATTAACAAAAAAAATAGTTCAAATGAAATCTGAACAAAGGAGTTGAGTCTTTGCCACAAACTCTGATTTTCTAATCCCTATATCATCTCACCATCAGGTTGCAAAGATAAATCCCTTTCATCATATTTCCAAGAAGTTTGAAACAAAAACCTGTGGCAAAACTATTCCAATTAAAGATAACAAAGATCTTCAAGGTTGTCTCTCAATTGTAATGTTTAATGGAACACCCAGTATCAAAGTCGGCATAAATTGTCCAGCCGTTTTTATGATATATTCTGTTGTTGTTATAATACAGATTTTTATATAAATTTTATTCCATATTTTTAAATAAAAGCATACCTTTTTTAAGCCTAAAGAAGAAATTTTGCACAGAAGTCAAGGAATCAAATCAGGAGGATGATCCCAAAAATTGGACAGATGATCCCAAGAATATGACAGATGATCCCAAGAATATGACAGAAGATCCCAAGAATATGACAGAAGATCCCAAAAATTGGACAGATGATCCCAAGAATACGATAGTTGATCCCAAGATTAGGATAGAGGAGGACCAAGATGCCTTTATCCTTCCCCCAGACACAAAAGATCAAATTACAAACATTTTTATAGAAAACCAAACTCCAATTACTTTAGTAGAAAATCAAGATCCAAGTATTCTCGGTCTTAAAGATCAATCTTCAACTGCCTTGGAAGAAGATCAAGCAAATGATCAAGCTCTAATCGATGATCAAATTTTCAACATTCTTGTAAAAGATCAAACTCAAAATACTTTAACAGAAGATCAATCTCAAAACAATATGATAAAAGATCGATCTCAAGATCAAGTTACCAATAGCCGAACAGAACATAAAAACCCTGATATTCTTGAAGAAGATCAAGCTCCATATACTCTTACAGAAGAATTTTATGATGCTCTTACAGAAGATGATACTCCTGATACTCTTGTAAAAGATGAATCTCCTGATACTCTTACAGAAGATGAAACTCCTGATACTCATGTAAAAGATGAATCTCCTGATTCTCTCACCAAAGATAATACTCCAGATATTCCAGTAAAAGATGATACTCCAGATATTCTTTCAGGAGATGATACCCCAGATAGTCTTGCAAAAGATGAATCTTCTGATACTCTAACAGAAAATGAAACTCTGGATACTCTTGCAATGGATAAATCTCCTGATACTATTACAGAAGATAATTCCCTGTATACTCAGGTAATAAATCCTGAAGATGAAGCTACTAATATTCATGCAAAAGATGAATCTCCTGAAACTCTTAATGAAGATAATGATCAGAATACTCCAGAAAAAGAAGAATTTTTTGATGCTCTTACAGATGATGATACACTGGATACTCTTGTAAAAGATGAATCTCATGATACTCTTACAGAAGATGAAACTCCTGATACTCTTACCAAAGATAATACTCCAGATATTCCAGTAAAAGATGATACTCAGGATATTCTTACAGGAGATGATACTCCGGAAAGTCTTGTAAAAGATGAATCTTTTGATACTCTAACAGTAAATGAAACTCCAGATACTCTTGCAACAGATGAATCTCCTGATACTCTTACGAAAGATGATACTCTGTATACTAAGGTAATATCTCCTGAAGATGAAGATACTGATACTCATGCAAAAGATGAATCTCCTGAAACTCTTAATGAAGATAATGATCAGAATACTCCAGAAAAAGAATTTTTTTTTGATGCTCTTACAGATGATGATACTCCGGATACTCTTGTAAAAGATGAATCTCCTGATACTCTTACAGAAGATGAAAATCCTGATACTCATGTAAAAGATGAATCTCCTGATACTCTTACCAAAGATAATGCTTCAGATATTCCAGTAAAAGATGATACTCCGGATATTCTTACAGGAGATGATACTCCGGAAAGTCTTGTAAAAGATGAATCTTCTGATACTCTAACAGAAAATGAAACTCCGGATGCTCTTGCAACGGATGAATCTCCTGATACTCTTACGAAAGATGATACTCTCTATACTAAGGTAATAAATCCTGAAGATGAAGATACTGATACTCATGTAAAAGATGAATCTCCTGAAACTCTTAATGATGATAATTCTCAGAATACTCCAGAAAAAGATGATACTTCTGATACTATTGCAAAAGATGAATCTCCTGATACTCCTACAAAAGATGGTGCTCCAAACACTCTTGCGAAAGATAAATCTCCTAATACTCCAGCTGAAGATGAATCCCCCAAAACCCCAGCTATGGATAAATCTCCCGAAACTCCAGAAAAAGATGAGTCTCCTGAAACTTTCACAAAAGATGAATCATTTAAAACTCCCAACAATGATCAACATCTTGATACTCTTATAGAAGATCAATCTCATGATCAAGCTCATGAGTCTCCACCCGAAGATCAAGCTCATAACACTCCTACAGAAGATCAAACTCATGAATCTCCTATTGAAGATCAAAATCATGTTACTCCTATTGTAGATCAAACTTATAACTTTCCATTACAAGATCAAACTCATGCTACTCCTATAAAAGCGCATGACGCTCCTTCAGAAAATCAAACTCAAGATACTCCTATTGAAGATCAAACTGGTGATGCTATTTCAGAATATCAAGCTGGTGATGCTCTTATAGAAGATCAAACTCATGATACACTTACAGCAGATCAAACTTATGATGCTCCTACAGAAGATCAAACGCTTGAGTCCCCTTCAGAAAATCAAGCTAATGCAACTCTAAAAGAACTAAAAGCTCCCAATACTCTTAAAGAAGATCATGATCCCAAAATTCTTTCAGAAGATCAAGCTCACAAAACTATTATGGAAAATCAAGATCAAACTCCCAATACTTTCACAGAGGTTCAACCAATCAATACTTTTACAGCAAGGTAGAAATAAAAGTTTTTATTAAATCCAACTTACATCTTTTTTGTTTACTATTGTAGCATCGCAAGGGCAAAATGTTATTTAATTTAGAAATAGAAAACTTTAGCCATTTTTTATTGTGTTTTTTTTAGGATTGAGTGCATAGAGTTAGAAATACTAATCTGTACCATTATTCCTACAAAATAGGAACAAACTCAAAACATGGAACACTATTGGAACATTATTGGAACAACTGGCACTTAGGATGAAAATGGGATTTTAAAGTGTCCGTAAAAATTAAATGCAGTGTAGGATAAAAAATGAAGTTATTTATAACTCGGTGCTAAATAAATTTCTATTCGATCAATCTGTAAAAATATCAATAAAACCCGTTTTCCATGAACTCCGGATATTTAGTACGAAAAAATGTAGGACTAAACTTAAACTTCAAACTGCTTTTTCAACAATTTTACACACAAGCTCTGGATTTTTCAGAAACTGTTTAAAAGTTTCTTTAATACATTTAACAATTTGCGCGGCAATTTTTTGTAACAGAAACATCAGATAGGAATAAATACAGATTTGATCGATTCCAACTTTAATCACATTCTAGTTTTCACGAAAAATCCCCCTGACCTTGACTACAGTGATAACCAGAAAACTCTGGAATATGAAGACGACTTTTAGACATACGTTATTAATACACTTTAGTATTGTTACGGTGATAACCAAAAAACTCTGGAATAGGCAGACTATATTTTGACTCAAGTTATGACTTTAAGCAGTCCAATAAACATGAGAGTGAGAAACAGTAATTGTAATTATTAATAATCCTATTTAACTTAGCAAGTGATTAGTAAAACTATTTGCTTCGTAACAACATCTAATACATACACAAATATATTGCTATAATGTCGTCTTCCTATTCCCAGTTTTCTGGTTCTTACTGCATATTTTCAAGGTTTTATAACAGGGACCAATAAAACTGTAGATTCAAAAAGAAGAAATTTAGACAGTCTAATGGTTTTTGATGCTATTACAAAGTAATTAGTCTTTACCAATATAGCTTGGGTTGTGTACACTGCACACAATTAATATACACTGGGCTTTATTAATCATAATTTGAGTTTAACAGTCGTGTTTCTTTTCCACAGTTTAATGGTTAGAACTGTATCTACCAGTTAGATCATTTACCAAAAATTCTCAACTTTACTCCGCGAAAGCTGAAGAATTTATAAGTCAAGTTTTTACTCGCCAAAATATATCAAATGTTTTGGAAGCGTTGTAACCTCGTTGATGAAAACAAATTATTTTTTAATTGTTAACATTAAAAAAATAAATCTAATTTCTTTTATTAGTTTCATCAGTCCGAATGTCTTTTTATCAGCAATTAACAAATTTAAAGGAAATTAAGTTTTATTAATATTTACACCTACCCGTGTATAGCAAGGTCCCACAATATATCACTACAATGAAAATTAAGTTTTATTAATATTCAAAACTTCCCATACAGTGGTAATCAGAAAACAGTGGAATAAGTGTAGTCTCTGTTTTTCATCTTTAAATGGACTGTAAGCGTAATTTCAAGTGACCCTCCATGCAAAGAAGGCAATGCCCGATTTTCAACGGTACCCTTAAAAGCTTTGTCTTGATCAAGTTTTGAAATGTTTTTAAAAAATTGATTTGCGCATTTCTAGCTTTTAAGAAAGACTGTATATTTTATCAGTATTAATCACTTTTCAAGTCAGAAAAAACGACATTAGCTTTCACACAGTTGGGAACAGTGAAGGTTTTATTAGTACCGTTGTAAATCGGGAATTGCTAACTTTTTAAGTAGGGTCACTCGAAATTACGCATGTAGTCCCATTAATTTATTTTTAAAATCATTTTCTGGTTACAATTTTAATATCCCATGATCCAAAATCTCTATAATTTAATAAAAATCATTAATAAATTTTAAGTTTTAAATTATAATTTATTTTAACTAGTTAATTTTTACATGTACATGTTTTTAAGCTCCACTTGTACAACGATTTCGTACAATATTGTAAAAATAACCGGATTTGTACAATACACATTTATTTATACATGGTGTACAATGTACATGTACAATGAGATATTGAGTCAACGTATTATTGTAAATTTATAACAATGTTTAATAAACCATTTTCTCAATCAATTCTAGGATAAGTCAGAAAAGAAAGTTTTTTTTAGATGAAAGGGGTGCTGTTTAGGCAAAATTCACTCAATACTGTTGTTTAGCAACATTTTGCCCCCCCCCCCCCTTATCGTCGGTGCAAGAACTATAAAACGTTCACAAAATTTAACTTTTTAATATTTACAGATAACAAGGATAGGACTTCATATGTATTCGCCATAGATTTCATAAATTGATAGATCCTACCTTTAACCATTAAATTTAATTATATCTGATCAATAATGAAGATATCTTCGTTTTTTATACTTTTAAGTGTTTAATCATAACAACCTAGGAGAAATCCGCGAGCCGGTTCATAGAGAAACCAAAATTAAAAATAATAAATTTTCAGAATGAAAATGATTGATATCTCGTAAATTCTTGACCAAACAAACATCTATTTACTTAAAATTGCGTTTACAATCCCTTCCGCCAATAAGAGTTTATATAAGGCAGAAAGCTCAGAGGTTACGTAAACATTTTTTATCTCGTTTTTTTGTTGAACTGTACTGCAGGTTCTTTGAAGAATATATACAAAACTGGGGCACTTAGAACAGCACTGGATTTGTTTACATTCCGCCCGGAAACTACAGTACACTTTTCATGTAAACAAAGATATTGCGGGTTCATGATATATTCAATGGTTTGTCCTATCTATCAATCTGTAATTAGCAAAAATACACGTGTCATTATCATACAGTGGTCGGCGGTTATATCAATACAACGAAGACGACTTTTTTATTTTACCTTTGATTTATATAAAATTTTCTTAAATTATAAGTGCACAAGTAGACACAGAAAGCTTTTTTTATAAGCTAAAATTTATTTCCATGTTATGAATTAATTCGGTTTGAAAGCTTAGTAGAAATATAAATTTTATTCGAAAGTAGTCTTTATTGTATTGATAAATACGACGATCACTGTATTAAAACGAGTGTTCGCGACCATTTTCCCCTTATATACGCTATTAAAAGTAAAGTTAGTAGTGATCGAAAACGAATTCAATTAAATATCAGCCTATACCCCCTTTCATTTTTCGCTAACACTCCCTTAACTAACAATTACAATTAATGTTAAACCATCTCTGTCTTGTTAGACGAGTAATACTATGAATCTAAGAGTGACTTACAAAAAGAGGTTAGCGGTGTTTCAGAAATAAGAGAATCAGAAGTTGAAGGGGTATACATTTTTAAGAAGCAAGAAAAAATAGAAGTTTTCAAAAAATATCTTAATGCGAGGTCAGCCAAAATTAAACGTTTTTAAAACAGAAGAACCAAGATATCTTCCTGGTTGTTTCTCAGATACAGTTGTGAACTGGACTGGCATTTAATCTTGTGTATTGCATTTTTCATTTTAACTCAGGTTTAACAGGCATTCGTTACATATGTTACATATGTTATGTTACAATAAAAATCTAAAGTTTTGGAAACTTATCAAAAAGAATCGAGAAATTTTACAAATAAATAGAAATCGACACTTAAATTGCACTGTTTAAGCATATTAATGCCTCTGTATTTGTAATTAAAAAAATAATTTTCCCAGTAGAAGTAATAGAAATGCCAAAAAAATGTTCGTTTTTAAAATCATAAATGAAGTCTTTTTGAAAATGTAACCTTTTCTTATCGACATAAATAGCTATTTTATTTGTCGACTAACCGTTGACTTGATTTCTGATCAATATAAATAGCTATTTACGTTTACAACATTTGATAATTTGTTGACGACATAAATAGCAACTATTCGTTGATATCAGACGACATTATAAACTATTTTAAAATGTCAAACTGAGGTATCTTAATACAATATTATCTACCGACAAATTAAACCTTTTAACTAAGTTCAAGTTGCTTCTTTAACAAATAATTAACTAATTCCTGTCGATATTGTCAACCTTTTCTCTTGATGACATGATCCTATCGTCGCGTCGACAAGATATTTGAGTAAATTTTTGACTAAATTTTGTCAAAGACCAGAACAGATTTGCCCACTGTGACCTCGTTCGCCAGTCGTGTCAAACCTTGCTTGACATCTGCCGGCGAGAGGACCGAATCTAGAACGGGTTGGATTTTCCCGCTCTCTACAGCTGCCGTGATATATTTCAAGGGTTGAGCAAGTTGTCCGGAGCGAGGTAAGGACGGAGGAAGGACGAACGTTCTCCAGAGCGGGAGAAAAATGCGCCGAAAAATCCCCCAATTATCGGAGGACAGGTTGGGAGGCAGGGTTGAACATATTCGTCCTCGCTCCGCTAGAAGAGGTAGACAGGAGGTTACAGAGATTAAATCTCCGGCTACAATGATTAGATTAAACGGTCCTGATTCTTCAAGATCATGAAGGGTTTCTTCTCCTGTCTCACGCGCCGCAACAACATACTGCGCGCCAAGCGCGTGCGCGAGAGGAACAGTTCGACTGGTACACAGCACAGTAACCATGCAACCCCAGAGACAGGCCAGCTGAGTCGCCAGGCAACCTGTATCTGAGACTCCATCAAGGACTAGAACTTTTAAACCTTCAGATTTATCCGGCTTTAATCCGCCTTTCCACACCATGGCGGACCAAACCATGAGGGCGGAGTAGGGAACGGTGGCGGCTCCGTCCCAGTCCAGGTTGTTGGGCATCTTCTCCACAAACCTCCCCGGGAGCACCACCATCTCCGACATGGTCCCGGGAAGATTGTATGGAACAGCTCCCCACACCCGATCTCCAGGTTGGAGGTGTGGCACCTTCTCCCCCGTCTCCACCACTACGCCGCAAAAGTCCCGGCCTAGGGTGAATCCGCCGTGCATTTTCCGCCTCTCCGCCCTGCCCCAGCCGGTTAATGAGAGGTAGTCGGTTCGGTCAAGGCTGGCGGACATTACTCGGATAAGGAGTTCGTCGCTTGATTGAATTCGGGGAATCTCAATCCTGAAAAACAAACATAATATAGACACCATTTTGAGGGGCCCTCGCTACTTGTAATTGTCCGATTCATGATGGTACCCTTTAAACTTCAATCTATACAACATTGTAAAATTCTGTTAATTTCCTTGTTTTTAAAAATAAATCAGTATGTCACAAAAAAAATCGACAATTTTCAGCCTAGAGGGCCGCTTTTAATTACGCTACACGTCGTTTAAAATGTCATTCTTGAATAATCAATAGATTCGAATGGTTTGAACATGAATTTATTTGCTTAAAATAAATTAGGTTCAAAAAAGTTTGCACAGACAGATTTTTTTTAACGTAGCTGAGTTTTTACATTTGAGGTAAAAATATTTTTAAATGGAAATTAAAAGATTTTATCCAAGAAAGTATCAAAAGAAGTAAACATGTCGAAATCTCTTTCCGGAAACTTGGAACCTCTGAAAAGTGACCTCCGTCGAGTCTGATTTTTTATCTCTGGCCTCGTTGGACATAAATAGCCCAATTTTTTAATATATACTCCCATTGACCCCTAGAATACACTAAAAACAAAGAAACAAATTCCTTAAGTTTTTTATGTAAAACATGGTGTCAAAAATTGCGTTTTTTGAATTTTTTTTTTAAATGCCAAAAGTGATAAGTTCTGATAAAAAATATAGGAGTAAAAGAAAACAGAAAATATTATTTAAATAATTATCTGACATATCGATAAATTTTTTTTTTTTAAGGGCTACGCGGTGTTTACTTTTTTTTGAGACAAATCACACTATTTTTCAATAGACGGTTGCCGGTTCTAATTAAAAAATTAATGTTATATAAAGAGCAGGATTTGAAGTTTTTTTTTCATCAAAGTGTTAGATATAATAATTTAAATAATATTTTCTCTTTACTTTTACTTCCGACATTGTTCATCAGAACTTGTCACTTTTTGCATTTAAACAAAAATCCAAAAAAACGCAATGTTTGACACCCTATTTTGACTTTAAAAAATTGAGGATTTTTTTGTGTATTCTGCGGGTCATTGGAAGTATATAAAAAAAGTTTAGCTATTTATGTCCAACCAGGCCGAATTCAAAAAATCGAAGCCTACGTAGGTCACTTTTCAGAGGTTTCAAGACTCCGAAAAAGATATAGACAAACTGACTTCATATCCTGCACCTAGGCATTAATATAACAATAATTTTTAAATTAGAACCGGCCACCATCTAAATTAGGGAAAAATAAGTGTGATTTGTAAAAAAAAAGTTAACACCCCGCAGACACCCCCCCCCCAAAAAAAAATATTTAAAAAAAATATTATTTTTTTTTTTCATCAATGTGTTTGATAATAATTTAAGTAATATGTTCTCTTTTCTTTGGCTCCTATATTTGTGATCAGAAAAAATTGGACTATTGGACATAAAAAATCAGATCCGACGGAGGTCACTTTTCAGAGGTTTCAAGTTTTCGGAAAGAAATTTCGACAATCGGACTTCATATCCAGCTCCTAGGCAATTATATGAGTCTACATTCAAAAATAGAACCGGCTGCTATTAATAGTAACAGAGATATTATAAAATGTCTTACTTGTTACAGGTTCTTTTAATTTTTCCCCCCAAATCCCCAAATCATCAAAAAATCATTCTCCCCAGGGGGGTAATTCCGAGGAGGGGGAGTTTACCTGCACTGTGCTATCCCTGGAACCCCTGAATAGCTCCCGCACACAGTAGAGATTAATGATCATATATGTAGGTTTAAGTCTAGGACAGGGGGGGGGGGGGGGTTTACCGCCACTGTGTGTTCCCTGGAACCCCTGAATAGCTCCCGCACACAGTAGAGATCATATATGTAGGTTTAAGTCTAGGAACGGAACTGGAGAAGGATCGACCCGTCATGAAGCCGATGATAAGGGAGATTGACACCAGGGCTATTTTGTCGCGGGGCAAACTCCTGGAAATAAATAAATTTCAACTTGTACTGAAAACATACTCAGTTTGTAGTAAACACCTACTCCATAACAAGTTCTAGAACGTATCTATCCAGGTTCAAATCGTCCGCTATCAAACTCAACCAGGACTGAATTCCAGGCTCTAAATGCCACAAAGGGACACAAGCTTAGCTTTCTATAAGCTATCTAATTGATCATAAATGATGGGGACGATCCGGTGCTCTAAATACCACACAGGGACGCTAGCCAAGCTTTACAACAAGCTATATATCGATCCCAAATTATGGAGACGATCCTAGCCGCAACGCTCGCGGCCCATAAATTGTCTTAACAAACCCTTACACTAAGATAATGAAAAATAAATAATAATAATAATTTTGCTGAAAATTAGTGGTCATGTACATAATTGATAGGAAGGGGGGCCAAAGAACGTTTACTAGTACCCATAATTTCTTTCCCCAAGAGGTTGCAGGTATGTTTTTTTTAAGGATGTAATTCTCTATATTGGGAATAACAACTGATGTACAAGAGAAAATTAATGAATTTAAGGTAAATTATCATGAAAAGTGGAAAAAGGGGGGGGGGAGGATTTTAGAAAATATATAAAATCATCCGACCTAGAGGAAACTGACCTAAAGCTTTCTGACCCAAGGGGTTTCCCGCTTTACATTTCATTATGTTAAAGGTTATTTAGGAAACAGTTTAAATTCGTAAAAAGCGCGGGAATAAAAGCTAAACGAAAAATAGGTCTGATATCCTTTAATCCAGTTTACTCTAGGCCAGTTTCCATAGAATCATCAATCACTTTCTCTTGGTGTGTCAATTACTTTAGATCTATTAATTGTGAACAGTCTCATTCAGGATAAAAATGTTACCTAAAGAAAGGGGTAGCCCAGGCAAGCTTTACCATCATTTCATCAGCAGTATTGTTTAAAGATTCAAGAAGCATTTGAACAGCTCTTAACTCAAGGAAGCTTTTCTGAACCTTCTCCATTAGCTCCTCAATAGCAGCTACCATGATTCTATACTGCTCCCCGGCACTGCTGCATCGAACCTGAAGAGCTGCTGCAGAAAGCCGCTCTCCGGCCACGTCGATAAGATGCTCCATTTTCCACTGACAACAAAATTCAAGTAAAACTTTAAAAATAACAACATAAAATGTGATTGATTCCTAACCTGCCAATCCTCCCACGCCTGGCCGAGTCTAAATAACAATTCTTCAATCTTCATTTATCCATTTTCATTGACGTTCCAAGCTCATTTTATTTCATAAAACAGATAAGACTGAGCAAATACTGAAAAAAGCTACATAACAGTCGCGGCCATATTTTGGAAATTTGTTAATCCAAGACTGGAACGCGGCACAGCTAGCAAATCATATGTTTACGACTGACAATTGTCGACCACTGAAATTTTTTGAAGAGACGTACAAATGTCGGCGACCGAGACTCGGCATTTTGAAAACAAAGTTTTATAATTTTTTTTATCATCAAACATAAAATTCATGAAGTTACTAAAATTATTTTTTTTCCTAATATTTTTAATGTGTCGTAAACTTGTAAAAAGTTTTACCCGAACGTTAAATTTATAATTTAAAGCGTAAACTTGTAAAAAGTTTTACCCGAACGTTAAATTTATAATTTAAAGTAATCTTACTCATTCTTAAAAGTCGTCTTCTTTATTCTTAACTTTCCTTAATACTATTATGGTTCCGGGAAAGTTTAGCGGCAATTTATTGCCAATGCGCTCCCATAGTTTCTCTACATTATGTGTGTGTGTGTGTCTGCCTGTTTCTATTGCTTGTTATATTTAATGCAGTTATGCAAGGTCACTGAAACTGCAGCAACGATTACACGTCTTATATTCATGAGATACTCTAAAACTTAAAAGTCAGATTAGTCGATCCGACATAAATCAAATCATGCATTTTTTAAAGCTGCCATAATCTTTATTTGCCTGTGTATAAAAGCATCTTTATTCATGAATGTTTGTAAACAGGCCGAATTGTGAAAAAAAAATCTTTGCATCAAATAAAAAAAGATTTTAGAATTTTTTCCATTTCTCATAATATAGTGAAATTGTTATGTTGTACTTTTGTATGAAGGGGTAAGTAAGAAAAATTCATTTTACATATTCTATTGTTAATTCTCAATACAATTCAATTCAATATTAGCATTTTGCCATATATTAATTTTTGTAGACAAATTTCTGGAAATAACTTTATTTAAAGTCGAAAATCTTGTTTTATCTAGAAGGGGGGTAATTCCGAGGAGGGGNTGGTGATTTGAGTTTGTGGCAACGGCTCAATTCCTTTGACGAATAATGGAACTTTTAAAAAAATCCACTGTATCGAACTTCAAAACATTTATACCTATCTAAATTTAAAGTTTTTTTTTGATACAATTAAAAAAAATTTGTATAAATAATTGAAAAATCTACCTCCTTAATGATCTATGTTAAATAATTCTTTAATTACTAAATGAGTTTTGAGTACTAACATTTTTCTTTAGTTATTATTACTTCTTATTTGTTACTGTATTTTTGTTATTGTTGGTGCAAAAAGTCAAACTAATGTAAATTCAATGTAAGATTGAAAAACTAAATGTTTTCAATCATAACTCCTCTTATTGAAGAGTTATTCAAAAGAACAAAACTGTTTTAACTTCTAAAATGTAACTGAGCTGGGAACTTTTGAATGATGGATATCTGGATCAATGCTTGATCCACTCTTCTTTAAACTTTTTGATCTCGAGATTAAGTAAGGCTTGTTCTCCTCCTGTTATTAATCTCCAGAGGCCAAATTTAAAGAATTTAAGCAGCGGCTTAAATTTGAGACGTGGCTCCCGCTCAGATATGGTTGGTTCTACTTAAAATTGTATTCAATGTTTTAAAATTTAAGCCGGCGCTCAAATAAAACCAGTTTTTCGGATTTGAGACGCGGCTCAAATTCATTAAATTCAGACTATGATTAATTAACCGATCGAGATGAATGATATTCTATTCTAAAGTTTTCAGTTCTGAATACTTTTGTTTGAAATCTGCGAGGTCACAAATTCGTACCAGTGATGACTCGTTTTATATAATTCATGGTTAAAAAATTTTAAATTTAATCTCCCCCCCCCTTTTTTCCAACCTCCATCCCCCCGTGCCCCACTTTTATAATTGAAAGGAATTGAGCCTTCGCCACAAACTCAAATTTTATAATCCCTATATCTTTGCATCCTGATAGTTTGAAATGAAACCTTATATTTCAAACTTAGATTATTTGATCTGAAGGAATTTATAGTTTGAAATATCTAAGGTTCAAGACAAAGATATAGTTTGTGGCAAAGACTGAATCCCTTTCTGTTACATTTTTAACTAAACTACTGCACTTTAAAAGGAAGCGTCCAATTTTTTCATTCCTTGGAGTTAAGGTCGATAAATCAAACAGTATAGATTATTTGTTTGAGTTAGGTCTCTCATCTTTAAATGAAAGAATGATATTTAGTCCTGAATTATATGGCCTGAGCTGAAAACTTTAGAATGGTGGATATCGGGATTAAGGCTTAATCCACTCTTTTTCTTAATCTCGAGATTAAATATTAATGCACTTCATCTTATACTTAATTTTCCTTAATACGTTATAAATATATCTTAACAGTTTACATACCTTTAAACAAGTCTAATGTAACAGCCAGCAATGCAAACTAGAAGTAAAACTTTGTGACTTTACATATATAAAGCCATTTTCTTAGTTGCAACTTATATCTTTAATATATATCCGGGATACCTTAGATATTTCAAACTATGAATTCCTTAATTGTTTATTTCTGAGTTAACTCATTTCCTCTCCTTTCCCCTTTTCTCCTTTCCCCCTTTTCTCCTTTCCCCTGTTCCCGTTTTCCCTACCCTGTACATACTTATCATTTCCCCCATATTCTTGAGCTCAATTTCTATCTTAAATTCCTCAATTTATATTTAATTTAAGATTCTTTTTATTAAAACTTAAAAAGTGCAGTGATTTTTTTCTCCGACTGTTCATCTGTTCTCTGTTCTGCCGAATTTTCGGTTTAGATAATAAAAGTTATTTTTATATTTTCTGTGAACTTATCTATCTATCATGCTTGGGTTTTTAGCACACAGCAAGGCTATATTACAAAAAGGACAATTTTTACAGTTTATGCAAATATTATACAAGTTTTAGATACGTCAACCACCTTTACTGATTTACTGCATTAATTATATTTCTCTGAATATTTTTTTCTGTTTCTATAGCTTTTCAGTTTCTCATTCTTCTCTTCAAACTGTTTTCTGATTTGTTTAACTGTTTTTACTGATATATTCCTCTGTTTCTACAGATATTTATCTCTGTTTCTACCGATATATTCCTCTGTTTCTACAGATATTTATCTCTGTTTCTACTGATATATTCTCTGTTCTCCTGTTTCTACCGATTTATTCCTCTGTTTCCACTGATATATTCTATATTCTTCTGTTTCTACCGATCTATTTCTCTGTTTCTACTGATCTATCCCTCGTTTTATACTGATCTATTTTCTGTTTTTACCAATCTATTCCTCTCTTTCTAATGCTTTTTCCCTCTGTTTCTATTGATCTATTTATCTGTTTCTACCAATCTATTCCTCTGTTTCTACTGATTTTTCCCTTTGTTTCTACAGATCTATTTATTTGTTTCTACCAATCTATTTTCCTGTTTCTAGCGATCTAATTCTCCGTTTCTACTGATCTATCCCTCTGTTTCTACCGATCTATTCCTCTGTTTCTACTGATTTTTCCCTCAGTTTCTACTGATTTAATTATCTGTTTCTACCAATCTATTCCTCTGTTTATACTGATATATTTCTCTGTTTTTTTACCGATCTATTTCTATTTCTACTGATTTATTTCTCTATTTCTACCGATATTTTCTTCGGTTTCAACTGATCTATTCCAAAGTTTCTACCGATCTATTTATCTGTTTCCGCCAATTTATTCCTCTGTTTCTATAGATCTTTTTCTTCGTTTCTAACGATCTTTTACTCTGTTTCTATAGATCTACTCTTCGGTTTCTACCGATCTGTTCCTCTGTTTCAATAGATCTATTTCTCGGTTTCTATAGATCTATTCCTCTGTTTCTATAGATCTTTTACTCGGTTTCTACCGATTTATTCCTCTGTTCCTACCGATCTATTCTTCTGTCTCTACCGATCTATTTCTCTGTTTCTATAGATCTATTCCTCTTTTTCTATCGATCTATTCCTCTGTTTTTATGGATCCATTTCTCTGTTTTTACCGATCTATTCTTTTGTTTCTATAGATCTATTCCCTTCTACCGATCTATTTCTCTGTTTCTAAGAGATCAATTCCACTGTTTCTATTGATCTTTCTCGGTTTCTACCGATCTATTTATCTGTTTCTGCCGATCTCTTTCTCTGTTTCTATCTATATATCTATCTATCTATCTATCTATCTATCTATTTACTCTCCCAGCATGACAGCTCTCAGTGGTGTATATAAGCTCGTTAAGTTCGGAACTTTGCCTCCCTTTCCTCTCTCACACACACACTTTAGTTGACATACATACACCTTTTACATGCATACACACAAAAAAAAATACAACCCCTTTCCACTCTCTTAACCACTGTGCACAAAGAAAAACTTTCTGCTCCATTTAAGAAAAAATTGAGATTGTTAAAATCCTAGTTTGTTAAATTTCTAAAAGTGAATTTGAACATGATGTCTGGATACAAAACATCGCATTGATGTAAATGCAGTGAGAAAGAATGGTAAAAAATCAAGCTAGAAAAACGACAATATCTTCAAGATTATTGATTAAATGAAGGTTGGAAGGGTACTGTTGTGAATTGGCATTCTCATAAAATATTTTTGTTGATCATTTTCCACTGAGATCCGGATCCTCAGCACTAAGATCCGGATCCTCAGCACTGAGACTCGGATCCTAAGCAATGTGATCCGGATTCTAAGCTCTGAGATCCGGATTCTCAGCACTAAGATCCGGATCCTCAGCACTGAGACCCGGATCCTAAGCAATGAGATCCGGATTCTCAGCTCTGAGATCCGTATTCTCAGCACTGAGATCCGGTTCCTTAATACTAAGATCCGGATCCTCAGCACTGAGATCCGGATCCTCAGCACTGAGATCCGGATCCTCAGCACTGAGACCCGGATCCTAAGCAATGAGATCCGGATTCTCAGCTCTGAGATCCGGATTCTCAGCACTGAGAACCGGATCCTTAACACTAAGATCCGGATCCTCAGCACTGAGATCCGGATCCTCAGCACTTAGATCCGGATCCTCAGCACTGAGATCCGAATCCTCAGCACTAAGATCCGGATCCTCAGCACTGAGATCCGGATCCTCAGCACTGAGATCCGGACCCT